GCCGTCATCTAGCACAGCGTATGTCTCCAGAGTCTGGTCACCATGGCGAAGGATAACTTTACTGACCTTAAGAAGCACACGATGGCCCTGCGGTGGCTTGCCAATGTATAGCACTTGGTCTGCACTAGGCAAAGGCTTGCTCTCACTCGACTTCACCTGGTCAGGCCTTCTCTCAGCTTTGTCAGTCTTGTCTAGACTTCTCTCGCTGACATCGTGCAGAGCGAGCAGGTGTCTGCTGTTACATGTTTTACAGCACATCTTCAGATCACATTCAGCTGATCTGTGTTCTCTGCCGCATCGCCAACATCGGTTATTGTCCTGAATCCAGTTACGTTTCTGGGTGGGGCTGAGCAGTTTGAAATTCGCACAACTATTCAGAGTGTGCTTGTAGTTCTCACAGAATGAGCAGAACTTCTTTGCATCTAGACTGGTTGGAGGAGTGGATTTGGCCGGCTCCCGAACTGGTTTGGTTTCAGCCCCCAGCATGAGGACTGAGGCCCTAGGTGACGACTTGACAGTACGCTTAGAGTCTCTGGGCTTAGGTCCAGTGTCCTTTCCCGCTCGATATTGTGCGATATCCTCCTGGATCTGGAGCTCGTATTCCAACCAATCTGCTAGATCCAGAAGAGTAGGAATAGGAATGCGGAGAGGGTGGATGTAGCGCCTGAAACTGGATCTCAGGTCGTGCGGTAGCTTACCCAGCAGACGGGTGACATGAGAACCACAGTCCAGCTCAACTTGCCCCTTTAAACCGAGTTGCTCCAACATGCTCACCAGGGATCTGACATTCAGGGCGAACAACCTGAATGACTTGATGTCTCCACTCTGAATGTTGGGGCCATCCATCAATTCAGCAATACGCTGAAGGGCGAGTTGGTGTGGCTGCCTGTACTGTTGGTTTAAAGCTGCCATAGTGTCAGTGAAGGGGTAATCAGAATTGCTATAGGAATCTGCCACCAGCAACGCTTCCTCCAGCTTCAGATGATCCACTAATATCTGGAACTTGAAACGTTCAGTAGCATCTCTAGGAAGGAGATTGTCTAGAGCAATACGGAGTCTCGCAAAGTCTCTTGGGTTTGGACGGTTGAAGTTCGGGATTGTAGGAGTGGGCCCTCTGTATGTTCTTTCCTGTCCACCAGGGGGAGTCACTGATCGTCAGCGCCTGGGCCCGTGTCGAGGTGAAGGGGGACTACGTCTCTCACGCCGGTCTGGAGAGTAGCTGCAGCGGCGTGTAGGAGAGTAGTCGTCTCGGCGTGATGGTTCTCTGTATTCTCTGAAGGAATAACAAGAATCTCTGTAGCTGGCGTGGCTCTCAGGTGAGCGGCGGTGACTGGACTGCTCATAATTATAATGAGAACTGTAGCACCCTTCCCTGGGCTCATAGCTTCGTCGCAGGGCCTGGTGCTTGTTGCGTTCTAGCTCGGGGGAGCGCTTAGGTGAGGGAGAGTCATACCTGGGTGATTTCCTGTAGTCCTTTGTGTCTCTGCGGCAGGGCCGGATTAAGAGTTCAGAGGCCCCTGGGCACAATGTCTTGTAGGCCCCCCCTTAGGCAGGCCAAATGTATATTTTGTCCAAGCATTTTAATATGGCATTTACAGTTTTACTGACTTAAAAGGAACTTTGTTGTACTGTGCTGGAGTAAAGTTAATAAATGGTCGTTCTTACCCATAGGAATTTGTAAAACTATGTTGGGTGGATCTCTGTGCCTCTAGGGGGGTTCGGGGGCATGCTCCCCCGCAAGAAAATGTTGTACATCTTAAGGTTAAATGCATCAATCTGGTGCTCTTTGAGAGATCATAATTAAGAGCTTCAACCCATGAACTGCTCCTTGAACAAAGAAAAAGCATTGACTTACCAGGGCTCAAACATCTTTTTAGTTATGAGAGTCTCAGTCTATACATTACATTATTAATGGTGTTTTAGGATGCCAAACAATTATTATAATAATGTAATATTGATTTATATAATTATTCCTATGACGTAAAATCCATATAGCCTATAAATGTACTATATAAATGAAAATGAATATTTCAAAAGTATATTTTAGTCTACATTACACTATAATACAGGAAAATTAAAATACTTTTGTCCTAACTTCTTCACTTGCAAGAAATAAACCCTTGAGCTTTTATTTAGGAGAAAACACCAGATAACCATGCTGATCGCGTGAGCAAAGTGCACACTTTTCTTTAAATCACCCAGCACAAACAGGATGCCTATTCTCAAAGTCTTGTGCTGTTTTATAAAGGCACAAAGCCATATCATGGTTTCGATTTTAGTTCGTTGGCAAAATATAACGCTAGATACCTTCATGTTAGGTTATACATTTTACATCTCATATGTGTTGGGAAAAGGGAGAAGAGAGAGTTCGGCAAAATGCGAAATCGAACTCGGGTCGAGCGCATCAAAAGCTGCTTTCAAGCACTTCACGCGCTACGACCTACGCCACTGTAGCTATTCCGTGAAGGGCGTCTTTTTGCGTCTTTTTTTTCTTCACCTCGCTTGGGCCACAAGTGCGCATGGCGAACTTGCAATGAATACATTTTATCAGACCGGCCCTCGCGGACTCGAAACACTACAGGCACACCTGGGAAACTCCCGACTCTCCCGATTGCCACTCCGCCCCTGGTGCCCAGGGCCCCTTAGATGTCGTGGGCCCCTGGGCAAGTGCCCAGTTGCCCTAATGGTTAATCCGGCCCTGCTCTGCGGTAGTCATGACGACTTGATTTAGTCTTTTTTTCTGTTCTTCTTGTTCCTATTTCCTTCAGTGATTCTGATTGTTAACAGCAGGTGTTCATCAGGGTCTCAATTAACTGAATTATTCACTCAGTCAAGTGGACTATATTAGTGAACTAATGTAGGGAATAGTGAATGAGGGTATAGGGTGTGATTTTGAACACATCCTCTGAATGTCGACTTTGAGCGCTGTTAAAGGAACACTCCGACTTTTTGGGACTTTAGCCTATTCACCTTATCCCCCAGAGTTAGAAAAGTCCATACATACCTTTTTCATCTCCGTGCGTGCTATAAGTCTGTTTGACGCACCCACCGCTAGCCTAGCTTAGCACAAAGACTGGATGTAAATGGTTGCAGCTAGCATACTAATCCAAATAAGTGACAAAATAACGCAAACATGTTTCTATTTACATGTTGTGATTTGTATAGTCACAGAGTGTACAAAAAACAAAGTCACATGAGACACAGACATATTTTAACCGTATAAATACTGGGAACTATATTCTCTGAAGGCGTCTATATATTTTCTGAAGGCGAAACACTGCTACTTGGGCGGAGTGATAACCGCAGCACCTGAGACGCGCCGTGGACGGTGAGGAGCAGAGAGCGCGTCTCAGGTGCTGCGGTTATCACTCCGCTCAAGTAGCAGTGCTTCGCCTTCAGAGAATATAGTTCCCAGTATTTATACGGTTAAAATATGTCTGTGTCTCATGTGACTTCGTTTTTGTACACTCTGTGACTATACGAATCACAACATGTAAATAGGAAAATGTTTGCGCTATTTTGTCACTTATTTGGATTAGTATGCTAGCTGCAACCATTTACATCCAGTCTTTGTGCTAAGCTAGGCTAGCGGTGGGTGCGTCAGATAGAGTTACAACACGCACGGAGATGAAAAAGGTATGTATGGACTTATCTAACTCTGGGGGATAAGGTGAATAGGCTAAAGTTTCAAAAAGTCGGAGTATTCCTTTAATTCACAGTATATTCCTGTAGGCTACTTTCTCGAAAACGACTAATATCACCCCGAATGCATTTTTTCTACGGTATATTGCTGTTTTTATGGAAAACAGCATGATACTGTAAAATGTGGCTGTTTTTTTACAGCAATTTTTTACAGTGTTGTTTACAATTCTCAATTCTCATGTAGATTCTTTGTAGATATTAGTTTGCTTACATTTTTTAAATCTAGTAATTTCTGTAAACTCAAGTAACTTGGCAATAGAGCATGAGAAAATAATAATAATGTTGCCCTAACTTAATAAAATCCGAGCGGCAATGGCTCAGTGGTTCATGTAGGTTGTCTATAAACCGAAAGGTTGGTGGTTCAATCCCCAGTTCCACCTGACCAAGTGTCGAGGTGTCCATGAGCAAGACACCTGCTCCCGACGAGCTGGATGGCGCCTTGCATGGCTGACACCGCCGTCAGTGAATGAATGGGTGAATGCGAGGCAATGTGTAAAGCGCTTTGGTGGCCATGGGTCTGTTTAAAGCACTATATAAATGCAGTCCATTAACCAACATCTTTTTTTTAGTTCTCTTAAGTAATGTTTTCCAGTCCACATTACTTGATACAGGAAGTTGAGTCAACAGACTGCATGTTGCATCAATTCGTATTTTGAAGTGTAATAAACTTGACACTATAAGTTGACTCAAATTAACTCAGTCAAAGCAAAAAGATGACTTGACTTAGTTAAGTTGAGTCAACTAATCTTTTTTTACAGTGTGATATGAACATTAAAATACACAATATTGGCATATTTTGACACCAACTTTTTGATATTTAATTACTACTAAAGCGTTTTAATTAAGGGCTGTTCACACTAAACTTCTTCCATTGACTTCACATGCATGTGAAAGTGGGACACAAGAAACACAAGATCAAGGGAATTTCCCTGCGAGAAAGAACACAAATGTTTGCAGTAAAGCAGAGTAGATGAATATTATTTGTAGAATATAGTTGTAGAATGATTATTATTTGTTATACATGTTTGTAAAAATACACACAAATTCTGGTAACATTGTTACAATATGTAAACCATATATAAAATAAATGTAAAATAAAATAACTAACATATTTAAATTTAGTTTGACCTGATGTTGACAATATGAAACCTGCCTTTACTGAGCATTTGTTAAAAAAAACCCAGAACATTCTGTACCATTTCATAGTTTAACTGTTTATCTAAAAGTGATGAAGTGCTTGAATGTTTCTAACATGAATGTTCTTCAGCATCATGAATGAATGAAGAATAAACACCAACCTCTTTGTTCTTCAGGATCTTCAGTGCGTTTCATTCTGCAGGGTTCTGGATCACTCGTGTTCTCACTGTCCTCTTTAATAAACTCAGTCTTGGCAGATTTCAGCTCTTCCTGATGCTCTGATGCTCGTCTTCACTTGTAGCTGATGGGAATTTACAGCATTTATTGGAGAATTACAGTGGGAGGAGCTTCACTGATGATGGGGTTGCAGTGGGAGGAGCTTCACTGATGATGAATTGCAATGGGAGGAGCTTCGCTGATGATGAATCACAGTGGGAGGAGCTTCACTGATGATGTTATTACAGTGGGAGGAGCTTCACTGATGATGTGACTGCTGTGGGAGGAGTTGATCTGCCAAAATAAAAAATATCTAAGTTACTGAGTTTGTTTTTATGCTCATGGACATCAGAATATAATAATGTAAATTCTTCCAAATATAAATAATGGTCAGAACAACAGTTGAAAGCGTAAACAGAAATAAACATAAGCAACGCCAAACCCAGAGCTGGGGGAGAAAAGGTAGCCTCCTGAAGGTGACTTGATTTGACTTAATAAATAAATGTCATATTCCTTAGTTAATCTGATAGTTTTGTAAGCCGTCGTGTTCATGCTACTGTATCAAGCAGATCCTCAGGAAAGAAGCACGACCACGCACGGATGGGATGAGTGATGCCATTTATTCTCTTTTAAAGAGGAGTAGTATGAGGCAAAATTAGCGCAGAAAGCGTGAATGCTAAAAGGCATGAATGTACCAGTACCATACATAATTGCACATAGCCTATATACAGTACATGTAGGCAGCAAAATACCAGTGTTTCACAAAATATAAATGTTATATAACGGTTAATGCAAATAAAAATACTAAGCATACTTGCAACATTCCATCATGTAAATATTTTATAATATAACGTCTTTTTGATACAATCATGCCGTGTCACGTGTAAGATTAAACCATATGGTAACTGACGATGTGAGTCAAACAAATATTATATCTTAGACTGCTAACGTTACATTGAAACTTAAAACAGATTATATAACCATTAAAAGTAGCTAAACATACCTTAAAGAAGAGTAGTACGAGACAAAATGAGCAAAAACACAGCGGAAGTCCTTCTCTCTCACTCCTGCGATAGATATCACGATTAAAAGCGCCAGTTTCAAAGAGTGTTCGCTAACGCATAGTTACACGGATACACGTCATGAAGTATTTATCAACAAAGTTTTAACACAATGTACACTGTGATAAAGAGGCCGTAAATAGGAGATATGTATGAGTATGAGAGAGCGAAAGATACTGTGCGTCCCATAGCTTTCAGTGAGACTGAAGGGGAAGAGAAACCACTTCCTTCCTAACGGCAGTTTCGCACCGCAAGCTTGAGCTTCGCGTCGTCTTCCTTGGTGTTTTAGGGCAGTTGGCATCCAAAAAGTTGCATTACTGCCATCTACTGTTTATTATCACTGATTGTCGCTTCATACTTAAATTCGTCTTTCCAGTCCAGTCCTCTTTAAAAAATAAAATAAATAATTATTTCCTTGTTCTTCCCATATTCTAATATATTTTTTTACATTATATTGTCATATACCAATTCCTTGTAAATTATGTTTCAACTCTTGCCTTTCTTGAGTAAATTTCCTGCATGACATAAAAATGTGACTGACTGTTTCCTCCTCTTGACATTCATCACATTGACCTGTGGGATGTTTTCCTAAAATACAAAGAGTTCAACTTCCATTTAACTTACTATGTCCAATCCTAAGTCTTGTTAATACAACTTGCTCTTTCCTTCTATTTGACATCTCTCTCATAATACCTACTTTATTTTGAATCATGTATAGATGTCTTCCTTTACTTTCATGATCCCATTGGTATTGCCATATTTCCATGACCTTTTTCCACACTAGACTCTTACCTTCTGATTTTGACAATTTAATTTCAATGTCAACACGCTCTTTTTTTGATGCCTTTTTTTGCCAATCTATCAACTTTCTCATTTCCCTGTATGCCCACATGTGCTGGTATCCACATATATATAATATTTTTCCCTTATCTACATACCCTTGAATTTAGATTCGCGTCTTGCAATAATCTTCGTCATATTAGGGAGCATGTCTTTACAAAGACTATAAATTATTTTTTAGAGGTTGGTCATTTATAAACTTGATAGTCTTGAAAGTTTGTTAAAGGGGAACTTGGCAACTTTTTTAACTTAATAAAACTGTCTAAAAATAATTTGAATGGTTAAACAACCTGTTCTGATGAAATTGGTCAATTTCAAGGACGTTGGATCATGATTTTACTATAGTAAAACTGTAGTTAACTATGACTGTAGTAACCGTGGTATTTTGGTGCGGTTTTGATACCATGGTTTCACTACAGTTATATTGTAGTAATACTATAGTAAAATTGTAGTTTTACTTAATTACCTTGAATTACATTTAAGACATTTAGTTACAAAATAACAACAGAAAGAAGTTACCATATGATACAGACTTTATTAAAAGAAAATGTAAACTTGCATTCTCACATGTGACATAAAACAATGAACTACAAAGTTATAAAGTGATGCTGTGCAATGGTTAAAAAAAATCAGTTGCTAATTTACAAATATAAAAATAGCAATTTGTTCCACTGATTTAATGATTTTATACAAAAACAACAGTGTACAAATAAACATGACTTAGGTTCCCTTTAAATACACAGCATCTTCCTCCTCTAAAATGTCTATAACCTGTGACCATGTGTCCAACACAAGCATGTTTGCAATTTATACTGTACATACATCAACAACATTACTTAACAAGAACAATAACTACTATAAATTCAGAAGAAATGAGCAGTTCTTTTAAGAATGTTTTAAATGATATTCACTCACAAGAGATGAAGACATGGAGTCTCCTCATGGGGGATGACAATTCTAGGTGAAAAAGTTTTTGTTCAATAACATGTGATGCCAGTAGTTGTCAGTATGAAGTCAGTCATATAGGCCAGTAGGTGGCAGTATGAAGTCAGTCATATAGGCCAGTAGGTGTCAGTATGAAGTCAGTCATATAGGCCAGTAGGTGTCAGTATGAAGTCAGTCATATAGGCCAGTAGGTGTCAGTATGAAGTCAGTCATATAGGCCAGTAGGTGGCAGTATGAAGTCAGTCATATAGGCCAGTAGGTGGCAGTATGAAGTCAGTCATATAGGCCAGTAGGTGGCAGTATGAAGTCAGTCATATAGGCCAGTAGGTGGCAGTATGAAGTCAGTCATATAGGCCAGTAGGTGGCAGTATGAAGTCAGTCATATAGGCCAGTAGGTGGCAGTCCAGCTTTGGTTTGGTTCTGTCTCGACCTTCAGCCCAAATGGGCTCAGGAGCTAAAATGAGAAGAATACACACCACATTAACACACAGCTTGCTGGAATACTCAACTGTACTATCGAGTAGCCGAGTAATAATGTCCATTCAGCCAGTGTTTTCATAAATAACCCATAAATTATTAGGGCTCCAAAAGCCAAGCAGAAAGAATGTACATTATATGATCAGCTGACTGTATTCTCTTTTACTTATATTCCTGAAAGGTTAAACAGAACAAAAAGTACTGGTCTCATATAAATGAATTATAAATAAAATTTCACTACATGGCAGGAACAAATCAGAACATTCTTCCAAAGAAAGCTCTCAGATTTCATTATTAAGATCTTCATTTGTGTTCCCCTAAGATGAACTAAAGTCTTACGGGTTTAGAACGACATGAGGGTGATTAATGACAGAATTTTCATTTTTGGGTGAATTAACTTTGAGTGTAAATGCTAGGAAAAATAACTTAATTTATCATTTTGCTACAATATTTGCTCGAACATGTTAAACATCTAATTTCTGTAATAATTTTTCATCGTAATTTAAAAAACTTCTAAACGTTCAAATGTATGTTCAAATTATATGTTAAAGCTATAGTGTAGTAATGCAAATTATTATATTTTTGATTTTGAATTTTTTTTTTAGACCAGCACTGGTAGTTTTCCCCATCATCTTCATGATCTAAAAATCAAAGACACATTTGCTGAGTTTCAACAAAGTTATCTGTTAAAATGAATGACTTGTATATGACTTAGGGTAGAATCAGGTAATAGCAATCATTTAAACACAGAGAATGAGTGATCAACTATTTTATCATTAAGCATTCATTTACAATAATTACCTATTAAATGTGTACTCACGACATAGGAACTCAATTGCTTTAAAATATATTTGCAGACGGTTAATATCACCGACTCGATTCGTACCTACCCACATGGAAAGAACCTATATAAACATATATGTTTTAATATAGGTTTTGATATAGGATTTCAATATATGTGACATATATAAAATTGGCCGTTTTCCTATATTATATGTACATATATGCACATACATGTACATATATGTGTGCATATATGTGTACATATATACGTCCATATATGTACTTATATAGGTGCATATATGTGTGCATATTTGTACATATATAGGTGCATATATGCCAATATATAGGTGCATATATGTGTGCATATATGTACATATATTGGTGCATATATGTACCTATATAGGTGCATATATACGTGCATATATGAACCTATATACGTGCATATATGTACCTATATAGGTGCATATATGTACCTATATATGTGCACATATATGTGCACATATGTACCTATATAGGTACATATATGCACGTATATATCCAGCTATACGTTTACCTATATATTAGTATAATTATTCAAATCCATAGCTACTAGGCAACATAAATAATAGCCCAAAATGTAGAAATTTAAATTATTTATTTACTCAAGAACAATCAAATAGTACAAGAACAGAAATAAGACAAAAAACTGTACAGAAAAAAACCCCAATTTATCTTGTTGATCTTCTCAGCTCCGTGAGCTTCGAATTGATAGATGTGCCTATCTGCCCTCGGCTGGCTGCCGGCGACTTCTTCAATGTAGCATCTAGAGAAGACAAAAATAATAAGACAGTATAATAATAATAATAACAATATATTGCTTCATCAGGAACCCAAAGTGCTTACAGTACAGCTGCGATTGGACACACATTTTGGATAAAGGGCTGATCATAATAAAAAATGCATCATGTAAACACGTCAATTGGAAGATTCTGATTGGATTCTGCTAAATCTGAAAGAAATTCTGATTGGAAACATCGTCCCCCTTTTTTTTTAGCGGCATCGTTCTTTCATATGCACATGGAGTACACGCAGGACACGAAGGCCACGTAACCCACAAGGCCGTTTGTCTCTTTCTCTGGGATCAGTAGAAAGGTTAG